AGCGGGCGGCGTCGGTTACTACCAGTAATTTATACCTATAGTCGTTAAAACCCATCAACCCGGTCTGGAACGGGTTGGTGGGTGTAAACTCATTATTAACCCACAATCTTATATTGAGATCTGCGCCAACATAAATATGTTGACGCGAAAACGTTTCTACGTAAATATAAAATGAAACACATTTGTTGGGCGTGAAACATTTTATTTAAAATTACGCCTTATAATAAATATTCTTTTAGCTTTATTAACTTCTTTATCTTCCTACCATTAGATAAGAAACAGCCCCTTAAATTCCAAATACACATTTTCAAGCAACTTTAGTATGACCACAGATTAAAAACCGTCCAGATGTGAAATTTTATGTCATAGTTTATTTACGTGTCGTTAAAAACAAGCGCTTGGGATGGTTCTTGTAACTTTTAATTTGGAGTTTGTAAAGAATATTCCATATATTATTTATAAATTGATCACTAGAGTGAAATATTTCTATATATATTCGTTAGGGTAAACTTTAATTATAATTTTAATAAGTAAAAGCTACTACAAGCAATAAAGAAATAATAACCCTTCACTACTGTTTCAAATGAGTATACTACATAATGTTGCGATAATCTAATCTCAGGAGATCCGCGCCTCGCGTTCCCTGAAATCATTTCGGGAATGTGTTTTCCCCTTATTTCGTGTAAAAACGTCACATACGATTTGTGCTTATTCCTCCTTGATTCCGTATGTTAGTTACGTGATAAAAGAGTTTGGTTATAACCATCGTACGTGTTATGAAAAACATAAATCCGTTAAATAAAACACTTTTAACGGTTTAAAACTAGTTAAATTTTATTACGGAACTACGGCCCGTGGATAAGGCCACAAAATACTGTACAGTAACCGTGGACACAGAGGCACCATGGCTACGCGTATATTCGGGTATATTTCAAGTTATAAGCAGTTAAACGTGTTTTCTTGAAATATGTACTACTCGCATAAGCTACATACAATACCTAATATATCATTTGATCACAAGATATTGTGGTCTGGACTTGATGGTGTGTTATTTTATACACTGTAGATCCTTTAAGGGAACAGCTCTTTGCCAATTTCTCAACAAGAATCTTACATGTAATTATTGTGTAAAGCCGTTGAGCTGTATACCATATGGTAGAACTTGACAATAAATAGAATTGACAGCCGTAGTAGTCGTATATAATATTGAATTGGATTTATTGCTACGTATTTAGATATACAACATTGTTAGTTCTGTGTCTTGGCGCGTTAATAAATGTTGACGGTCCGATATCAGTGGACAAGTAGAGATACAATTGGCCGAGTTTAACAAATGACAGTGATGTCTTTTGTAAAACTGGGCATCAATGTGTACTGTCTTGAAAACTTAAATTTAAAAAATACAAAATTTTGCACAATTCTAATCTTTTTAGATTAAAATAAAACACTCAGGACTTGAACCGATAATTAGTATATTAACAAAAGGGAAAACAATAAATGTTTATTACTAAATTAAAAATAAAAAAAAAAAACAAGGAGATCCCAATTGCGTATGACGGGTTCTGTAACATCGATTTTGACAAAAATCAACATTGTTGACTCTTTGATTTATTTTAAGTGCGCACCATTTTACCATTTATTTATTGTAAATGTAGGTTATAATGGATTGGTTGGTTGTAACGGATTCAGTTATTTTAGCTTTTGCGGTTCGGTAGACAAAATCTCTTAACTTACCTCAAGTGCGGAACCCAAATACTAATGTTAGTTAACAACGCTGTGTTATATAAAAACAAAAAAACAATATATAGTCGACATTGAATTTAATATTGCAGAAATTATTATTGTTGACCCCTAAAACGTAATACTCCGCTATTATAGCGCTTCAATGATATGGAAAACTACTTTTTGCCTAAATTATTTCGGATTGTGTCGAGATTGCGTTATTGTTATTGAATGAAAATAACGTTTTCATAAAGAATAACTTTATGTATCAGGACAAATAATGTTATGGATGTATATTTTATCGGCATAGATATATTTTAATATAATTTGTAGTTTTAATAACAACATGAAAAAACATGAAAATAAGCTTTATTATTGATTTGTTAATTAGTGCAACAGTAGCGAGGTATGGTTAATAAGTAACGGGTCCGATTTCCACCTGCTTTAGAACCGATCCAGAAATCATATATTTTTCTGATACGTGTTGGATTTTGCCTGGAAAATATTAAATGGTGGTTGACATTTTGTTATCCCGTTCGGGTGACGCACCGGTTCCAACTTCCAAGATAAAAATCAAACAATGTAAATCTCCACTTAAAATTGTTAATGTATTTTTTCTTAAAGTGAAAAGTTGTGATATAACTCGCGGTGCATTTACTACATCTCCTTTTCTATCTAATTTTCTGTTCAATGTAGCGTCGAAGTACATGCATAATTAGGGAAGATTCAGAATATAACAGAATGATTTTTCATACCCAAGTTTCGCACATAACTAGGTATTCATGTCAATATGTGAGATGAGAAGTATTTGTATACATTTTCGAGATACACGTCTAGCTTTACCTTCACCTACTTTCAGACTAGGTTGTTTTCAATGATATTCTAGATCTAGGTGAATTTAAAACTAACATCTGCTATTTTTACTGGGAGTTATTTACTAATTAATTAATGAGGAAATAACAATACCTATCTATTGTAAATAATCATGAGATCGGGAGTTATTTGACGCTATTAATTATTTTACAAGCGTACCTTTTTCCTTTTGATTTCGAATTTCTATTAGGATGCAGATTGCAGAAGCAGTATAGAAGTTTTTACGTTATATATTTATGATAGTTAAGAATTTATTAAGTTAGAAATGAAATACTGTCTATAGTTTACGCGAGTAGTACACATTTAAATAAAACACTTTAACGGTTTAAAACGCGATATATTAGTTAAACTTATTTGAAAATAATTTTCAACTTCGGCCCGACGTTTCAAATAAGTTTAACTAATATATCGCGTTTTAAACCGTTAAAGTGTTTTATTCAAAATTTAAAAATGACTCGCGACACAACATTTAGCAGTATTATAAATTAGCTTTAAACAAAAACGAAAATGATGGGGTGAAAGCTCGCTATTAAACGAAATTTTTAGTCAACATACCTAATTTGTTTTACTGTTTAATGGTTCTGACTGCATCGTTAATCTAGTGGGGCGAGAACCAGATTCGGTAAATTAAAATTAGTTGATTTGGACTTGTTGTGGTAAAAGTACGAATATCAAGATCAAGTCAAGATATAATTATAACAGAACATTTTGGTGGATTGGGGAACACGTTTAGTCTAAAGCAGCGTGCTTGGTTAAACTTTATAAAGGCTGTCTCCTATTAGACAGAAGTAAAGACCTTAGATTGAAACGAAATAAACTATATGCAATTAAATATGTTTTTTTAATAAGAACTATATTATGCAATTTAGCGATAAAGCTAGGAACGGATTGCATTACGTTGAATACTTCTTTCGTCGAAGCAGTTTGAAACGAATGGGGAGGCTAAAAGAGTAATGTACTAATGGTGGGAGGTTACACACATTTAGTCGTTGCTATTGTTGATTTGTGAAATTCGGTCTGATGCCCACCTTCTCATCCTGAATCTATTCATACATACATAACGTCTCCAAAACTATTAGGTTAGATGTCTATACGCATATGAACATATAATAATAAAAATCTAAGCTTTACTTTGTTAAATAGTTTAAAAGTTGTAACTGAAAGTTCGTAGATGGCGCTGCGGTCGGTATGACGCGTGTTTCAATGGCGGATGATCTATAGATTACATTTTGTTGTTATCAAACTTTGTAGAGTGAGACATCATAAATTTCAATGTCGTTTCTTTGCCATGTAGCTAATATTAAAGTATATTTGTTACATTTGAACGATCATTCTTGTAAAATAAAAGAAAATGTTGTATTTTCAGAGAAACGATTTGTAGTTTTGTTTTGAAATCCTCAATAACTTATATACTTCTAATATTATATACTATCTATAAATCGTTGAATGATTTCAGAATATATGTATGCAGTCCCTAAGTCCGAAGCTCGCATTTACAATTCGGGAAGGCTGAAACTTCTCTAATTGATTGTTTCAAGTCTCGAAGCGGCTTACGTAAAAATGTAAAGGGAACTTTTTCAATCAAGTGCGTAGGCTGGCTTTAAGGAGATTTCATTATATTCAAAATCTGTATTTTTATGAATTGTTTCCAAAATATAGAGTTGATCTAGTATATTCTGCAAGTTTTCATATGTAAGGTTTAAAGTTAAATATTCCCTAATGCAATTAGCACATTCACCTTTATAGCAGAATGTACATTGTTTCTCTCCAGCGAAGGCAACAAAAATAAAATATGCTTGAGCTGTTTGTAATGCTAATTTTGTTACATTTAATTTTCCAATGTAATGTGTGCTTATCACAAAATAAAATGAAGATTCATAAAAAAATACAATAAAGTATAGAAAGCAATTTAAAATCCAATTTACTTTTTTACAGTTTTTTTTTATTGCAATTTACTCAAGTTACTTCGTTAATAACTATATTTTTAGTTGTGAAATGAGTTGAAATATTACCTAATAAAACAATTTAATAATAGTATCAAAATCAATGGCAAATTGTTTCAAGTATTTATTCAGATGTTATGATAATCAGGTAAAAGGAATTTATGCAGATGAATACACATATTATAAAGAGGACACATATTATGTGAGAGCGACAAAGATAAAATATATACAAATGTTTGGTGTAATACCTATAGGTACCTACTCACTTATTTAAAATATGATCCTTCTTCGCTCAACCTGCTTTTTTTTAACTAAATTCTGAAACAATTAAAGCGAACGTTGAACATGTTGATAAGGTAGTAACCACTTAATAAATGTATTATTTATTTAAGGACAACGTCAATATATAAACTCTGTAAACTATATTTTACATAGTATTTGAAAAGAGAGAGCCACGTCAAGATGTCAAATCTATTCGCATTTTTAACAATTCTACTTTTGGGGTCTCTTGGTGAGTCTAGTTTTATTTTTGAGGTACCGTACTTGTACTTGATTTGTATTTAACCGGGGTTCACAAATAGTTAACGAGGGCTTTATACATTTAATAATTAATCATTTTTGAACAGTCAAGCAGATATGTAGTACGATACATGCTAAAATATTGGGTTGCTCCGAAAGTAAATTCGGTTTACTTGCGAAAATTTGCAAACCAGAATTATCACTGGCGTATTGTCAATAGATCTCCGTACACATCGGTTAATTTCTTTCTGGTTTGAACAGTATTTTTACCTTTTCCAATGTAAAAAGTAAAATATGACGTGAATTGGTCTCGGATATTTCAAAACCACGTTTATTTTCTAAACAATCTGGTACTATAATAGATAAAATTACGTAGTCTGCGTCGCAGTTGTTATTTACTTTGTGGTGTATATGATAGAGCAAGACATTATAAGGATCTCTCGATAGAAGCTGAAATACCTCACACATAAAACGTGCTAATAAAAAATGGAATATCCACCATATTTTGTTCAACACTAAACTCATAAACTCGGCCTCTGTCAAAGAATTTTTTGGTGTTATAAATAATTCAAGTGTTAAAGTGATAATTATTTTACAGTGGAGTCTAAAGATGCGCCACCGGGAAGCCTTCCTTTTGTAGCCTCCATTCAAATTGATGGTAAACATGTCTGCAGTGGAACTATCTTTCCTAACAATTGGGTTATAACTGCCGCCGAATACGTATATGAGTACGAGCAAAACAATATCGCAATAAAACCAGTATGTTTATACGTCATTCACAATTCAAATTATATTTCAGTAAATCCTCAGAAAGTTTAACTATCGTGGTTGGTACTGTCGATTTGGAAAAACCTGGAAGTAACTATTCTGTGGCAGAGATAGTAGTCCACCCAAAGTATGATTATCGAGATCTTGCTTACGATCTGGCTCTACTGAGGGTGGGTGAGAGAATGGAATATAGTGACAAGGTGTACCCAATATTTCCAGCACACATGAAAACGGAGGAAAAGGCAAACTTATTGGCGGCAGGTTGGAGGCTTAATAAAGTAAGCGATTAGATTGATAAATTGACAATAACTCGTATATTTTCAGATATTCGATAGGAAAACGGCTCTTGATACTTCTATGCTTTGAATTGAAACAAACCTAAATCAACAAACTTTTTAATCTTAAACAAACTCTTAAGTAAAATAAGGTTAATACTTATGTTGAAATAATACTGTCATTTGTCACGTGATACGAAACACTCTTGATTGGTCGGGTTGGGACTATATTCCCTCGTGGAAGCTTGATGGGGAGGGCGGAGCAGGGATATTTATAAAAACACACCCGCTTAAAACTTTCACATATATTTATATTTATTTGCACTATTGATATAATTTTGTATAAAAAATGTACAACCCCGACGTGTTTCGTCGGGGGGGGGGGGGGGGGGGGGGGTGTTTTTTTTTCATAAAACAAATCCGGATTTCAAATAATGACATCATCTAGACCATTTTAAAACCTAATTCAAGTGTGCCAGCCAGTATCAATTATATAACCTCCAACAGTCGGGATTAAAATGGACGTCATCTGCCTAAATTTTATTTCTTCCATATTCGTACTTATTTGCATTCAATTTCTTCCATAACAAAATATTTGCAAGCTCCTCTTGCCCACGACATCGCGTCCTGTCGATCTTGCAAGTTAATCGCAAAAGGTGAACATATCGGCGCACTCAATAGAAGCCCTCAAAGATGAATTTTTTGCTCCGTTTTTTTCACATTTTCCGATCTGGATAGCGCAATGTATAGACTTTCTCCAAAATGGTTGTAACCAACACAAGAATTTTTCAATTCTTACCAGTAGTTCTTGAGTTTAGCACATTCAAATAAAGATACAAACTCTTCAGCTTTATATATTAGTATAGATAGGTTTAGGTAGTAATACTGATCTATTGTACACAGGATGAAGACCCATCCAGTAAGCTGCAAGTTAAAAACGTAACTGCTATAACCAATGAAGAATGTAAGGCAAAACTAAGAATTCCAATCTCAGACTCAGTTGTGTGTACGTCAGATAATGACGGCGATAAGCCTAACAACTACATCGTAAGTTAATATTATCTACTACTGATGTATCGGGTTTTAATCCGCTAAACATATTTTCAGCTAATAATCAACGGGTCGTTGGTTCCATCCCCACCGGGTCGAACATTTTTCTAAACTTGGACTTCGTCTGGAAATCTAGATATTGAATGGGTGGTAGGAATACCGAAATTGTCCGGGTCACGAACCATCGTCCACAGATGAAAACGTCTTGAAGTTTAATCACGTTTCGGTTCGAGTCTGTGGATTTCCAAAGCCAAAATAGGTCGATAGCGCATATTGTTTAGATGCTATTGACATCCATGCTACCATTAAGAACTCCATGCTTTTCTTCCCCCCTCTATCACTAAAAAAACATACAAAAATTGTGGATATGGAAAACTAAATTGTTCTTACCTTTTACAGGGTGATACTGGCGGTCCACTTGTAGAGGGTGATGTTTTAGCTGGAGTGATTATAATTATGTTTAAACCTCAGACAAGACCAGGGCTCAGTGCACGTGTTTTTGATGCTAATGAATGGATTAATAAAACCTTAAGAAGCTAGTAGAAATGATCTATCTACCTTGCTATCTTGTCATTCTACAAATAAGTGAAAGTTAAAACATCAGCATTTAAAATTGTCTGTAGTTTGTCCAATAAAAAATAAGAACTGCTTAAAGCATGATATTTCTTTACGCTTTGATAATTATAACTTGGTAAGAATCTGTTCTTTTAAAGTTTTTGATCGTTAAGCCAAAAAATACCGTATCGTTGTATTTTAAAAAATCCAACAGATCAAAAACATTTTTCTTCTTATTGCAAAGTATATACATAGGAATAATGAGAAATCCTTTTTTTAAACTATATTGTAGGTTCATAAAACAATAAAAATTTAGAAAACAAATATAATTTAAGTATACAAATAATTAAAACACTTCCATTTAATTATGCGCATTTTTGAATAAAATTAATTTGCACACTTAAAATTAGTAACATGCCCTTTATGGGTAGATTAATTTACATAACACCTCTTTAAACAGTATCAAATAAAAATATAATTATTGTTTGCATAACATATAAAGTAAGAATAGTACAAATGTCCATAAATTGTAAACGTTTTTGTGTCAGCCTTATGTTTCCTTTAGGTTCATAATTACACGAATTAGAAATAGTGTTTAGAAATAGCATACATAAAGAAATACTGTTTTATGCATAATAAAACAGTATTTGCATATAAATATGTATAAGATTATGGGGAGCTTGTTGTTCCAATTGTATTTGTTAATATTTAGATATAGTCGATTAGATTAGGTTAGATTCTATTCTGGACAGCATTTTTAGTTATCATATTCTGAAGTTTTAGGCCTAGAAAATCTGAACATTCAATAGGTGCGTGGACACAAAATTCCGTCCGTGTCCATTGTCCGTCCGTGTCCGTGTCCAAGGCCATGACGTTCAAATGCTATAGACGTGAAACAAGTCATCTTCCATGTAGTGAACCTCAAGACAGTCCATTATTATCTGTTATAAAAAGGCACACTTCAGTTTCAACTAATATTAAAACTCCTCTCGTAAGAGAAAAATACTAGACGTAGATAATATTTAAAATGTAACTTGCACGAGTGAGATCGTAAAAGGACGCGACAAACTATCTCTTATTGAACAAAGAACTGAGACTGACAAAGTAAAAATGTAGTGTCGCGACAGAGAGTTTTTATTTTCGATACTCAGAAAAGTTATTTGTACGATGTGTTTTCGCTCAAATGAATTCTTAAATATTATTTTCATTATCAAACGTGTACTTTACTTCAAAAATGAGTTAGTAAATTACATGGCCCTACTGAGACTGTTGTTTAAAGTGGAATATAAAAATATCAAATGCCGATTTTTAGTATCAAATATTTGGGCCGTTGTTTTCCCCTTGTCAGCTAAATTGTGCAAAATTTTTACCTCTCCCCATTTTGACGAACCTATATGTAATTTTATTTTTTATCGATTTAGAAGCAGATTTTATGTTTGAATAAGAGGAAATACGATTAGATTTCAGGCCTTCATACAGATAATACAATTTAAATTATTAGTTCTTCTTAAGTATCAAATACTTACAAATAATTTTTAGGTCCTAAAGTACAGTACCTTCTAGTCTCCACATCGTGTTCTCTTAGAATGCTTACAGCTTTTAAAAAACTGTAGTTCAAGTCATTTTTAAATGCATATTTTTCGCTTTCGAGTTTATTAGATGGTACTCGACAGTAGGGGTTTTTGTGTTTCGTGCTTTCAACAAAGCAAGCGTTGTAGCAAATAATTTAACTCCGACTCTTGTTTTCTTAACTTGTTACTCGAACGCACGTTTCTGTTCTCTCTGAATACAAATTGACGCCATAAAAAACTCGGAGTTTTAATATTCCTATTTGGTTTTAGGGCGTGGAAAATCTTTTGTGTTGAACTGATGAACATTTTTAACTTGAGTTGTCTTGTTCTTGTACTATAGAGGTTCTTGCTCTCGATTACAATTCATGAGGTCTGCCATACGGTCTCGGTTAGGTCGGTATATGGAACAGCCTAGAATTTGGGAGTAGACTCATCATCCTCGTGCTTTGAAGAACACTTTAGAAGCTTCATGAAGCATACCGTCAAAACGGTAAGTTGGTAAAGCTGTTCCTTGAAGCAGCGTGGGAGTAAGTTTTTAAATCCTCTCTTCTTTATGATAGTATTGGAAGTGTTAGAAAAATACTAGATCTCGTCTTCGAAGATGATAAGATAAGATAATGAACAATAATCAGTTGCAATCAAACGGAAATATCGTCTTTCCGAATTTTACAAAAACGTCACCCGTTGAATGTGTACTTACTAATTGTTAGTAATTAATGCGAAAAAGTTGCGCGAAGAAAGGAAGACAAATAACTGAACTTAACCAAACTTGATAATTTGCTGAGTAGAAGTTCGCAATTTATTTAACCAGCACTTTAATTTAAAAAAAATGTTACCCTCCTAGCGATCGAGTAATTATTACTTTAGAAGCATAAATATGTATTAGGAGCAAATTGTAGTTTGTAAACTTTTAGGAAGAATTGGTAAACTATTGTGGATTGTGATGTGTGTGTGTATATTGTGCTATAATATTTTGTCAATTCCTTATGTGTATGTGTTGTAAATGTTTTACCACTCTTTGCCTTATAACGAAAAGACTGGGAAATAGTATTTACATAATATTATGTGTATGAGAGAACAGGAATTATTTTGTACCGTATTTCACTGATTGACTGGGTAAAATTACGGGTGCACTTCTCACTTTACACAGAAGTCACAAACAACGATATATGTGCAAATGTCGACATAAAATTTTATACCACATTATGAGAATTGCCCCCAACTTTATCACAAATGATATAATAATAATTCATATTATTTTATTATATATAGAAAATTTGTACCCTCGTCAACCATACGACACATTAATATCGATCCTAAGTGATATTCTGCAAGCTTTTGTCTCGAAAGTCGCACTGTAAAGTGCTTGTTCACGATCCTTAATATGACGTGTGACACGCCTGTTTTGGCACAGCAAATGCCAACCTAAAACATGAAGTTTTTAAAGGATTTTTGGTACCAGATTTTATATTGCTTGTTTTCTATTATCTTGATAATTAATAAATTGATTCAAATAAAACACTTTAACGCTTTAGAACGTGATATATATTATTTAAACATATTTGAAAATTATTTTTAATACGCCCAATGTTTCGGATGCTTTGCAGCAGTCGTGGTCACCGGGAGGCTAAAGATAGAGGGTGTCTCTAATGTCAAAGTAAAAATTGCTACGCTAGCGCTATCTGTTCCGTGGAAGTTGGTATTTGGCCCACGGAAAATGTGTTCTACTCGCGTGAACTATAGACACTATTGAAAAAAATTGAAGTTAAATAGCGGAAAGAGTCAGAGAAAGATTAAAATAATCTCATTAGTTAAAAGCAAACCAAGGGTAATTTTTATTTAAAAATTTTATTTATAAAAAAAATATTATTAAATTTAAAATTATAATTTATTTTTTAAAAAATTAATTTTTGTTTTTTCTATTCTTATTTTAAAATATTATTTTTTAAATTAACTCTTTTTTTTTTTTTGTTGTTTTTTTTTTTTTTTTTTTTTTGTTTTTTTTTTTTTTTTGTTTTTAGAGTTTCTTTCTTTTTTTTTTTTTTTTTTTTTTTTTTTTTTTTTTTTTTTTTTTTTTTTTTTTTTCTTTTTTTTTTTTTTTTTTGCTTCTTTTTTTTTTTTTTTGTGGGTTTTTTTTTTTTTTTTTTTTTTTTCCTTTTTTTTGGGGAAAATTTTTTTTTTTTTTTTTTTATTTTTTTTCCCAATCCGGGGTTTTGCCATGTTTCTTCTTTGGGTCCAAATTTTTCTTTTCTTTTTGACCAACAAAATTTTTTTATAAGGAAAATTTTTTTTTTTTTATTTTTGTAAGGAAATTATTAAAAAAAAAAAAAAAAAAAATTTATTTAAGGAGAAAGGAAAAAAAAAAAAAAAAAATTTTTAAAAAAAAAAAAAAAAAAAAAAATATTTTTTTTTGGGTGATAATAATAGCAATATTGTAACTTTCACGTTTTTGCACAACAATATCACAAGACAGCTTTAATTGTTTTTGTATGAATCAGAGGAGGATAGGATAGCATGGAGATCACTTAATGGAAGCTGAAACTTTCCAGCTGTATGACATCATAACCAGATGCGCTTTTAACGGTGGATATTCAGTATTATAAAATGTATTATAGACATTTCAACTTGAATACCTTCTGATTGGTTCTAAAACTCTTGAGTTTAACGCAATGCTAAGTGACACGCTAATCTCAGGAACTACTGGTCTAAAATGGTCGAGAAAGGCTTTAGGCTATAAAACACCATTCTGTAGGAGAGAAAAATCTTTATTTTCTGAGGTATTCGCTTTGCTTTTGATTTTTGGTAAAAATATGTCAGAAAAAATGATTTCTTTTTAAACGATCGTAAGATCTTAAATCTAAAAATCCGCGACAGAATATGTCTAACTTTTAAGATTAACTTGCAATAACGACGGGACTTGGAAGACGTCTTAGGTAACATCTATAATTAATTAATCGATAGCAAGAGCCTTATTAAAACGAATTTAATCCCCAAATAACTATTCTACGAAGTCGCACAGCTAGATCTTTATAAGAATGTATATTTTAATATGCAATTTTACTTAATATAAATTAAATAACACTCCACTCGTATTAATGCTTTAATCCACTGCTAATGGTTGATATTTAATTATAAATATGACTAATGAATGCTATCCAAATATAACTGTTTAATTAATATCAAAGCCAATAACCATTTAGTACACTCATAAACATTGCATGTACTAATGGAAATCGCTTTTATGTATCGCATATCGTTCGGGAATAACTAATTATTATGGCGTACGTAATTAAGCTATTGTTTTGACTAATTTATTAATTTGTTATGTGTCGTATGAACATCGCGTTTTGCTTGTGTGCTTGCCGCAGACATATTTCTGTGTTCAATGAAGCTCCAATTTTTTCTTAAATTTGA